ATTTGAGTTGCTTAAAGAATAACAAGTCTTTACTTTTTTTCTCCTCTTGCTAATACATTCTAAATGCTGTGCTGTGTCCTTACTAAGCGCTGAATTTCCTTGTAGATATCCTATTAAGATTAATAGAATTTTAGCATTTTTCATTAATACATTTTCAAATGGGTTACCTTTTCAACTATATAAAACAGCTACTTTTTTTAGCTTAAGGATCAACTCACTCTCCCCAAATGGGGTGGCTAGTTATGGATTGTCACAGAAGTGGATGTGGTTTAAATAATACTGCATTATATCTCACCACAGTGGAGGAGACAATATTAGAGACGTGTGTCTGGACTCTTTCTTTGTTATTTAAGTGACTTTGCTAACACATGAGAAGGGAGTTTGCTCATACCTGCCATATGCAAGAAACACTAAGCGTTTGGTGGTGCCTGCCTTGTGTCCCAGAGGTGGGTGGTAGGTTATTGCTTTGTTGTTCCTCTTTATTTGAGCCTTTATCTTGTGAACCACCCTGAGATCTGTTGATGAAGGGTGGAATATAAAGCAAGCAAGCAAACCAACCAGCAAACCAACCAACCAACCAACCAACCAACCAAGAAGAAGAAGATAGATAGTGGCTGGCATTGAAAACTGAGTGTGTAAATCCCAGCAGAATTTTCCAAGGCATCGCAACCATCTCATGGGCTTACATACTCTGTGTCACAGAAGGCTAAGAATATACATTAGCTGCACGTTTTATGTTGTAAACCACCCTGTGATCTTCAGGTGAAATATATACATTTCCTGATTGCCTCTCTTAAGCAAAAATAGAATAGCAACAGGTAACTTCTGACTCTAGCAGATAAACTAAGTCCAGTGCCATCTAGTGACAAAACCATATAATAACACTATAGATAAATGTATACCTAAAGGTAACCGGTAAAGGGACCCCTGACCATTAGGTCCGGTCGTGGCCGACTCTGGGGTTGCGGCGCTCATCTCGCTTTATTGGCCGAGGGAGTCAGCGTACAGCTTCCGGGTCATGTGGCCAGCATGACTAAGCCGCTTCTGGCGAACCAGAGCAGCACACAGAAACACCGTTTACCTTCCCACTGGAGCGGTACCTATTTTTCTACTTTCACTTTGATGTGCTTTCGAACTGCTAGGTTGGCATGTACACCTACACACCCACAAATGATGTAGGCGGAATTGCCATGGTGTGTTGTGGAAGTGAGGCTCGCTTAGGAGAGCTGGTGAGAGAGGAGCAGTCAATGGATGCCCTCTGCACTGGAGACGGGGTGAAGGAATAGCTACTGTAGATGGCTCTCTTGGGATCTGGGAAGAGGGTCTTTATATATTTGTTTTATATCCTGCCTTTCTTCCCCAAGAAGCCCAGGGCCACACATAACAATTGATAAAACAATTAAAAATCAATTGCAAACCAGATGCAGATTGGGAAATATCTCCACTTGACAGGTTTGTAGAAAGAGGAAGGTCTTCTGTAGGCATCAAAAAGACCACAGAGATGGCTCCAGTTTCATATTAAAAGGGAAGGAATACCAAAGGGGAGGTGCCACAACACCGAAGGCCTGAATCCTACATTGTGATAAGATGATATCTGCTAGAGAATTGTTCTCGCAGAGAACAGTGACCTGTTGTGTATATAAGAGGAAGAGACAATCTTTCAGATATCTTGGTCCAAAGCTGTACAGAAATAGTTTTGTAGCCTCTGTGAGTAGAGGCTGTTATAAGCAGTGGTCATATGTATTCGCCAATGGCATCCAAGAGTGCAAAGTGGGGAATTGGCTAATGGAGTCTTTGACAGAGAACCCGCAGGCCGTACACTGCCTTGTTGTGTATGGTGTGTGGGAAGCAAGGCCAAAATTTGACGCCTTACCCAGCCCTCAGCCATTACCTAGGCTTTGAGAAGGAGGTGGGTGGACTTTAGGATCCTGCCAGAGTCCTCACGCCTCCTTGCCAAAGACCAGCGCCCTGCTTACCCGGCTTTGGGAAGGCATCAAATATTTTTGGGGAGAGCATCAAATATTGGTGAGGGCCACCAGGAAAGGCCTGAAGGGCAGCATGCACACTGGACTACCCTGGTGTAGGAGGAATATTGGTGCAAGGGAGAGAGTCCTCTCTTTCTCCTACTGCTGCTAGCACATTTTCTGCCTTAATATTAAGGGGAAGAGTTTGGGGAAAAGATTGGACCCCCTTTCTGTTGCTGTTGAAAATTGATCTTTAGATCCTATTCAGGACTTACAGCAAGCTGTTTTCCACTTCATTGGAAAAACAGCTTAGTATGTGAAACCCACTTAGAAATTGAAACGTCTTTGTATTCTCACATCAAAGTCTGATGAACAATTTATTCAATTGAACCCTAAATACCCGGTAAGAATTTTAACTAATTTCTTCACAAAGTAAATTTTACTTCTCACATATCTCAAGTCTCTCTCTCTCTCTCTCTCTCTCTCTCTCTCTCTCTCTCTCTCAGAGAGAATAGAAGGTGGTAACAGATTATAACTTCATAATTGTAACTAGAATCTTTTATGCAGTTCTGTTAGGTTTTCCACGCATACTGCCAAAAGAGGTTTTTCAGTCTGTGGCTTCTTCCAGTTATGTCTTCCATCTGTTTCCTTTCCTTTATTCTTTCATCATTCTGGTTTCTAGCTTCCCCCTTTGGCTTAGGGTGCTTTTTACAGAGACTTTTTTGTGTTAGAAAACTGCTAACTTGGGCCAAGATCCCACATAGTCCAGCACTTTACCCCATGACACTCTTCAAACAAATGTCCCTGGAAATTTGCAAATCAGATATAATAACGGCATCTGCTAAACAGGGGTGGGTTGCTCCAGAATGTGAAGGTTCCATTTTTTTGATATCATGATGAATCTGAACTGATTAGACCCCTTGTGCATAAATGTGTCGTTCCTTTTTAAACCCATCTAACCTACTGCCTGTCACAGCAACCGGGGGGGGGGGGGCGTGTCAACCATATTATTAATGTATTGCATGAAGAAATGCTTCTATTTTGTATGTTTAATCAGTCTCATTGGATGGTTGTGGTGTAGTGTTTTGAAGGACGTGTGGTTCCAGAATTGGCCTCCACTTACAGACTCATTGTTAAAACTGTGTTTTATGGAAGACAATCTTACTAGGCTACGAAGATCGCCAAAGAAGAAGAAGAAGGAGAAGAAGAGTGTTTTGAAGTACTGAACACTGAATATTCCTTATTCACTTTCCCATGCCATTCTTATAAAAAATATTTTAAAATGGTGCATCCTCCTAGTTTCTTTCCTTATAAAGTAAAATGGCACCAATCCCACTTAATATTATTGGGGAAATGTTCTCGTCTTTGAATACAAATGTAATCTTCTTAGCACAATCTAAATGCTTAATGACACATCAAAGAATTCTAAAAGATTAGTGAGGAAACAGCCACCTTTACAGAAGCCATGCAGATTCTTCCTAAGCAAGGCTTGTTCTTCTGTACTGCTGCAGGACCAAACTGGTTGCTCTGGCCCACAAGCCACATTAGTTTCAGTTCAGAGCCTTAACACAGTTTACATTCCTGGGATGACCTTAAAATGACACTTCAACTATACTGGTAAATCACAACCATCTGGACATATCTGCAATTTTACTTCACAATTTTCTTTTTGTGAAGAACAAATTGACTGCAGACTTACATATCCACAGTTCAAATTTGCTTTTGTTTGAGAGCTTTATTGTCAGCAAGAATGTACAGGGGGAACATATTCATAGCCACTCACAATATTTGGACACTCAGTTTCTGAAAGCTGCAATTTTATGTTGCTACATCTTCATTTCTGCTGAGATGATTACTTCTTCACCAAGGTAAAGGATGTCTGGCCTTTTAGCAGTTAGATGGAATATTGCATTTTCTGGTGGATAGCCACATTTAAATGGTTATAGAATGGTTCTATGACTTCCTCTTCTGCTTTACATCTTCATGGGAGAAGTATTCCTGAAGCATTTGAAGTGAGGACAACCAAACTCTCTTTCTGCTCCAACTGTGCTTGTGCATGGTTTTTGCTCTGCTCGACTCAGGCCAATTTTAATTATTTAGAGTTTGCTGTCACAACATGGGCTCACTAGTTTTCTATGTCTGGAGAATCTCTCCTGCCCTCTAGTTGTCAGCTTTTCTGCTGCATCATTTCTTTATCAAATAGTTTGATGATAGTCATTGCATTATTAGGGTGTTCTCTGTTAATTTTACAGTAATATTTATGCTTTTGGTGGTGGTGTTTTTGTGTTGCCTAAAAAGTTTCCTAAAAAGTTCCTAAAAAAATGTTTCCTAAAAAGTTATATTCAAAATAGCTCATGGAAAAATCAAGGATAACAAGTTGCTTTAAGATGCATCTTAAAGTGACTATGGGGACTAAAGTTTATATTCTCTCTCTCTCTCTCTCTCTCTCACACACACACACACACACACACACACACACACACACAGGGCTAGTGGTGGCATAGTGGGTTGTGGGTTTTAATCCCTGCCCAGCCAGCAAGCTCACTGGATTACGTTGGGAGAGTAAACCTGTCCTCACAGGATTGTCAAGAAGGTAAAGTGGCCAAAAGACTGATACTGATGAATTGGAAGAATAAAGATAATCACTGGATCAACAATATGGCAGCACTCACAACTTTTGACTGGACTTCTTACAGACATAGACTTTGTTTGGATAAACATGACAACATTTGGAATGAGTTTATACAGAATGTATCTACATCTGTAACCCCCTTTGTGCTCTTAATGGCCCATTATCTCAAGAGGAAGCCAGCTTGGCGTGTATTTTAACATTTACTGGATCCAGGGCTTCAGGAAGCCAGGTTGGTTTGACTAGCTTTTAACGCTTGCTGGATCCAGGGATCAAATGCGAGTTTGGCACCCACAAACTCAAAACAACACACCACAGTAACCTTTGTCCGCATTGTCCTCAATTGAGATGGAACTTCATTTGTATGCTCTTAATATACCAATAAATCTATTGATTTTGTGTTACAGTGGGTGGACATCCAATATTAAAGGCAGCTGATATTCGAGTCGCTGGAGCTTTGGTAGCTGCATCAATGCGAGAAAGGAAGAGCAAAGAACAGGAAGCAAACCAAGCTGCTGCTGTAACAGAGAACAGTGTCTAACATAGGATGCAATTCATGCCCAGTTGTAATAAATGGCATCATCAATTTGATTATAAAGATACTGGATTGTAAACAAACTTCAGTTTCCTCTGATGAAAATTCCCAGTATACAATGGAAAGCATTTCATCTTTAAATCATCAGATGTAGACAGAAGATAACAGAAACATCACTCTTGAGCCCATGCTATACACTAGATTCCTATACTGTTAGAAACCATAATTTCAGTAGGATTTAGAAACCTAATGTGTAAAAAAATTAAAATTAAAAAATCCCATGCTTATTTGTTTGGATCATAATAGGCACTGTTCTTTTGTTTTTGTCTTTCTGTATTCTGTATGGCAGCGTCTAACATCAAATAAATGTGTCAGTGTTTTTTGCCCGAGAAATTTTACAGCCTTTCTGGTGCCTTTTGATCTCAAAGTTGTTCTGTGTGCTTTTCAAAACAAACTAACTTGCATCAAGCGCTTTAACAATATATTCCCCAAATCTGCAAAAAGACGGTGTAAGGTCAGTAAAGGAAAGCCTTTACCTTTCAATAGTCACTTTTCTATAAATAAATTGGCACTTGATCCTCATCAAAGAGCAAGAAATATTGGATATGCTCTCTGAGTGTCCATTGTAGTTTTTTGAGCCAACTACCTGATGGAAGTCATCACTTATATGTAAATGAACTGTCAATGGTTTGCCACTGTTGGCAATCACTGGACTGTGAAGGGTATGTCTTAATAAGAACCAAAGCTCTTCACAGACTTTGATTTACTGGAAATAAAATAGAAAAGTCCTCTGGGATTACGAAGGACACTTGTTTCAGATAAAATGTCTAGACAGTAGCAATATATCTGGGGCTTTTATTATAGCAAAACTGCAAATTAGAATGGAGTGCAGAGAAAGTTCCAGTGACCCAACTGAGTTCAAAAACACTGCTTCCCACTGATCTTTCCCCCCAAAGCCTAAAGACATGGTAAGATCACGAGCCAGCCCCTCCAAACAAAAAACAAAACAAAGCATTATGTCCAAGGTTTTGAAGGGCAGTGTTTATTGAGAATTCATTTGATTTGTTTGCAGGGAGGTTAGACAATGTTGGCTTTTTAGGGAGCACTTGTCCTGACTTGTTTGCGGGGAGGTTAGATACTATTACGTCAAGCAAGTGTTCTCTCACACTTTCCAGCGCACGTTCCCGTCGCGTTCCTTATCGCAAAAAATCAGGTCTTTGGGGGAAGCGAGTTCGTTGTGCCAGACCTCCCAATCAATCGCAACTGTGTGACCTGAATTTGATGGTATGTGATTAAATCCTGCCCAAAGATAGCAACAGCCTGGAAGCACCCAAAGTTGCAGTTCACCAATATTTTTCCTGATCAGTACTAAAAATATATGTGAGATTGTATCAACATAAAAAGGCCATGGATGGCAGGCAACTTGAATAATTTTCCAGTTTAAGAGCTTCTCCTTTCAAAATTCCAAGTCGACTTTTCTACAAATAGTTCTGATGGGAGGGGGGATGAAATCATACTGAATCAAATTCCATTAACATAGAAATGTGAATGGAATGCTCTTCAATGGAAAAAAAAGAGCCAGCTATGTATTCTAAAGCAGGGATGGGTGAATATATCAATTTTATTTCTCCCAGTTCCTCATTTTTCCAATCTTAAGTTCTGTTCTCCATATTTCTACATTGTTTTGTGATTTTTTTTTTTAAAAGTCCTCATGAAAATTTACCAATCTTTTGCTGTGTGTTTCTACTATACACATTTTTATTTTATGTTGCCTTACAAAGCAATTTCCCCCAATGTAATGCATTTTTGAATGTTATCTTCACTAATATACACATTTATTTACACGTTTTATCCCAGTATACATATTTTTATATGTATTACTTGCTGAAGAACTGCATCTCAAGTGCAGATTTTGAAGGAAGGTAGTGTTTTGTCTCAAGTATGGTTTTGGAAAATGCAAATTTGATAAGCTTGCCTTCAGATGTGAACAGAATCAAATTTCAACCCCATCCATATTCTAGAGTTAAATTACTGTCCATTTAAAATGATCTTATCAGGATTAACCCATGCATTTTTAAATGTATTATTCAACCTACTCATTTAAATAAGCCACCGCCCCGCCCCACCCCCAAATAACTGGAATTGGATCAGGAGCTGCATCAGAGACCATTCGTTCATTTAGCCCACAACTATTTGCTATGACTCTTCAGGGATTCTGCAGAGGTCTAATGGAGCCCTGCTGAGATCCTCATGACTGGAGGTGTGAAAAATTCACCCAAGGAACATTTATGTGCAAAGCATCTTCTTTACTTCTGAGCTATAGTCCCCTCTCCACACATCCTTCACTCACCAGGCTGCCCTCCTGCTGCACGCACAGGCACACTCCTGGGATATACTGACTGCCCACAGAGATTGTCTCCACAGTTCGTGATTGAGTTCTGCTACAGAGTATTTTTGGAAACAGTACAACATATTGTAGTGAAGATGATTAGAATTGTGCTACCTTTTAAACTGAACGGTTGGTTTTCTTCTGCATGGTTGCTTCATCATTTTTTATTATTAATTAAATTGCTATACAATCCGTCTTCCGAAGATCATAAGGTGGTTTACAATATAAAAATGAAGAAATACATGACATAATAACAAACGAAAACATTGACCACCTGAGATTTTAGTGCCTCTGCTAATCTAGAGCCTAAATAGGAGACAAGACTGAGTAAGAAAACTGATACCAAAATGATGGTTTATGGTATGGTGTGGCTGGTGGTGCTGGGAGTTGTGGAGGGAAGGAGAATTTCAAATATCACATCCCTCCCCCCACATTGGTGGGATCTTCCCTCTGTATCCAAAGCCTTCCATGTGAAGAAAAAGACTTTCCATCCGTATAAGGTAAAGTCTGGATCAACCCCACTGTTCTCCCCCCCTCCCCCCACACACATTGTGAGATTTGTGTGTATGTGCTGCTAACATTTTTTTTAAAAAAAAATAAACAGGAACAGGTGTGCAAGCAATATATTTTTTCCCAAAGAGAGAAGTTTGTTTTCAAAGCTATATTTAAAAAAGAACAATCCACTACACCACCACCACAAAAAACCAGGCAAATATATTGAAAACATTATATGTTGAATTTGGAAGCCAATCCCATCAATGCTGTTATCAGTATGAATTATCTTTTAACACACCAAGGACAGAAATATGAGTACCTACATAATAAAAAAGAGCAAAGAAAAGCACCAATGGATGGAAGGGAAGGAATGTATATATATATATATAAAATGAACAGTTTCACTCTATTGTAACGGAACAGGTTAACAGGATTGGAATAGTAAAACCAGGAAATAATATTATAACCATGGTTATCTGTCTTCAGAGGTATTGCTTGGTTGTTAAAAGACTTGATTCGCTCTGCTCCTAATGTACTGGCACGTAGTACGGAGCTGAGCTTTCGCTAAGGTGATATTTCAGAGGAAAGCAGGGAGGCACATTTCTCCTGAAACCTCCAGCTGTGCCTTTAATTTGTTTCTGTGCTGTTTACAAACATTACAGCCACAGAAGAAGTGAGTCGTGGCATAACTGAGAATATTCCAATGGTTTAGACAGCCAGAGAACTCTTCCTATATTCCCACGGCATGTTGCGGTGGCCCATAGGCTGCACAGGGGAGGGTGAGTTGCCCAAGAGCCTTGGACCAGGTGACTCTTCCTATCTTGCTGTGCTGCAATATGGTGGCTCCCAAGACAGCTGTATGATGCAGGAAGAAATGGAAGTGTCCCTCATGTTGCAGAAACCAGGGGTGAGGAACCAGATTTGTCTGGTAGACTGGGTCCTTATCTCCCCTGTCCCCTGCAGGCCAAGTTCAGCAGGTGGCTGGGACACAACAATAATATCAGGTGGCTCATTTTAGCCTGGTCTGTGGCACTTTGAAGCCCAGACAATCAGCTAATCATCAAGGCTTCCTGGCATCGCTCACAGCTCTCTCACTCATGGTGCCATGCTCAGGGCTTTGCAGGTACTCTGATCAGATTGGCCCAGCCATATCTTGTACCTGCCTCACACCTAATATCACATAGGCAGTTGAGTGACTCTTTGTCTCTTCTAGCACTGTGCTGGAAGGAAAGAAGGAAGCACTCCCTAGTTTCCTAGTCAACACAGGAATGCATTCACTTCCCTCTACCCACAGTGCAATGGTTTGACTTCATGTATTCTCAAAGCGCTGCTATAGAATTGATAAAAAGGGTCCCCAGCTTTGCAATGAATGTATGAAACACAAAGCTTGGATTGGTGATTATGCTCCATTCTATTGGCACGGATACTTGCGAATCTCAATAATATAATTGTTATATTGTGTATTTAATTAAGGATGTTTATATTTCAATATTTGTAGAATTGGTTTTTATACTTCATAAAGGGGTTAGAAGCCTATTTGGACATTAAGTGGAATCTAAATTAATTACTTAATCAGTAATAATGGTAATGGTAATAGGAATAATAATAAAAATATTGCTGTGCTAGGAAAAACAATATTGTTGTGCACCAGTAATAAATTGTAATAATTGTAATAATAGTAATAACAACAACAACAAATATACTATGGAAACAGTCCCCTGTGATACATTCACAAGTGAACTTTATATGACAACCTCTTTGTCCATGCAAAATCAGCTGCAATCTCTTCATAGACTCTTTAGTTCTTTTTGCTACTGCTTCAGCATGAATTACAGTTTTGGAAGAGATTATGTTTCATGTATTGTACATTTTCCTCTTGTTTGTGTTTCCTACCAATATTGCAGCTCAGCTTATGAGAAACCACCATAAGACCCTCGTTACATAAATTTACCAAGTGCTGTTAGTTTATTTCAGCCTGTGGGGCAGAAACCCAGTTTAATCTTTCAGTGATTTCACCGAGTTGTACACACTCATGTTCCACAGCAGTATATTATCCTTTTATAAAATACCTATAAAATATATTTTCTTCCATGCTGCCTGTTGCAGAATTCTGTTCTTGTTTTGAGATATCCCTTGAGCTATTTATACTCCCCTGTGCAGATGGTATCATTATTTTGAGATATTCCTTGAGCTGTTTGCTTTTCTGTGCAGATGTAATTCTATTTCCCCCCCCAAGATATCATCTCCCAATATTCTCTTCACTTGCCCATTGTTTAGTTTCTCAGCAAAGCTGTTATTTTTCTGCTGTGAAGGACTCAAACAGTCTTAAAAACAAAACAAGAACCCCTTTAAGCTATTTTTAGCTTAAGATTCCATGAACTATACCGACAGAAGAACTCCTG